GGGGGCGGGGAGGGACTGACCCCTCTGGGATCTATTCATCTCTACCTCCAAGCGCAGAAACGTGTCTCCGAGGCGGAAAGGAATTCTACGAGAACCTATCAAAAACGTGAATGCCGAGAAGAAGCAAGTTCCAGGCGATCACCCCTCGCGTGGCCCGGCCGGGGGCCGCGGCCTTCCCAAGCAGAAAGACTTCTACGGCTACGTCCCGCAAGCACCAGGCGGCTTTGGTTTTTCTTTTTCTTTTCTTTTTTCTTTTTGAGTTTAAGGGCGAGAGAGTCCCACAGACGCACGGCCACGGCGGGGGGGCCCCCCGGGGCCGCCTAGTGCCCGATGGAGCTGCTGCTGAAGGAGTAACAGTAGGAGTAGGAGGAATTGCCAGTGGCGTCGAAGCTGCCCCTGCGGGAGCCGGAGCGCGAGCCGGAGCGGGAGCCCGAGCGCGAGCCCGAGCGCGAGCCCGAGCGCGAGCCGGGGGCGGAGGACATGTTGTAGGGGCTGGGCAGGCCCTTGGACGAGACGGAGGCGGCCTCCAGCAGGCGCAGGCCCGTGACATCCTCCACCATGGAGCGGTTCATGGCGTCCTTGTAGGAGATCTTGAGCTTGGTCTTGGGGCAGGTCAGCACCTTGGCGTAGCTGCTGGTGTCCTGCAGCCGCTGGGCCGCCCTGCCGTCGATGAAGCCCTTCCTGATGGCCTCCTCTGTGCTGATCCTGCCGTGCACCTCGGGGTCCACCAGGCCGCCGGTCAGGAACTGGAACTCCAGGAAGCGCTGGCCGGCCTCGTAGGGCAGCCACTTCTCCTTGACGGCCTCGGCGGCCGACATCTTCTTCTTCCCCTTGACACCCTCGAAGCCAACGAAGGCCTTCTGGGCCGGCTTCAGCCTGGTGGCCATGTCCGGGTCGACGAGGCCCTGGGCGACGGCGTCCTGCAGGGCCAGCCTCTGGCCGGTGGCGGGGTGGATGATGCCGCCCGTGCAGGCCTGGGCCTCCAGCAGCCGCTGGCCGGTGATGCTGTCCACGATGCCACGCTCGATGCCCTCGGTCACGGAGATCTTCTCCAGGTTCTCCGTGTCGAAGATGGCCGCGATGGGGCCGGCCTCCTCCAGCGGGTCCGACAGGGAGCCGCTGCGGACGGTCAGGCCGCGGACGCTGGACACGGAGGTGGCCGCCTTGCTGGCCGACTCCTGCCGGCAGCCCCCGAAGACGTCGTCGGCGCCGCCAGCGCCGGCTGGGCCCCCGCCATTGCCCACGCCGTTCTTCAGGGCGATCATGTCGGCGAACTGCGTGAGGCTCAGGCTGCCGGAGCGGTACTGCTCGAAGAACTTGCGGTCCACCAGGCCCTTGTCCACGGCGTCCTGGATGTCGTACTGGCTGCCCGTCTTGCGGTCGACCAGCACCACGCGGGTGGAGCCGTCGGAGCCGGTGATGGTGATCTCCTCCCACTCGCACTCCTGCTCACACAGCTCCCGGAAGGTGTCGTAGTCGATGAGGCCCTTGCGGTAGGCCTCCTGCACGGACATCTCCTTGCCCGTCTCGGGGTCGACGATGACCACGCGGCGCTTCCGCAGCGTGTTCTTCTGCGAGGTCTGCACCTGCCGCTTGCGCTCCTTCAGGGGCAGCAGACACAGCCCCGTCTCCTCGTCCTTGATGCAGCGCTCCTTGAGCTGCAGGTAGGTGAGGTTCTCCTCCGTGTTGGGGTCGAAGAAGCCCTTGGTGTCGTCGCTGGGGTCCGACAGGATCTCGCTGAGCTCCTCGTTGAAGTAGCCGCGCTTGTAGGCCATGTCCACGGGCAGGCGGTGGCTCTCCTTGGGGTCGATGATGCCGCCGGTGGCGATCTGGGCCTCCAGCAGCCGGATGCCGTGGCCCTTCTCGATGAGCTCCTTGTTCATGGCCTGGAACAGCGAGATGATGCCGCCCGTCTCGGGGTCGTTGTAGCCGGTGACGGCGCGCTCGGCCGACAGCAGCTTCTCCTTGAACTCGATGCCCACCAGGCCCCGCTTGTAGGCCTCCTCCACGGGCAGCCGCAGGTTGCTGACGGGGTCCACGATGAAGCCCGTGGCCGCCTGGGCCTCCAGCAGCTCGAGCGCGGTGCCCGGCCGCACCAGGCCGATCTTCATGGCCTCGTAGACGCCCAGCTTCTGCTTGGTGGTCTCGTTGTAGATGCCGGCGATGCAGCTAGAGCCCTGCAGGAAGTCCTTGATGCGCTCGCCCACCTCGTCGTAGGAGATCTGCCCCGACTCCAGCTCGCTGACGGTGGAGGGCCGCAGGATGCCCGAGTCCACCAGCTCGGACACGGTCACGGGCTGCCGGATGCCCTGGAAGGACATGCTCCGCTTCTGCACGGACAGCAGCAGCAGCCCAGTGTGCGGCTCGACACGGCAGCGCTCCCGCAGCTGCGCGTAGCCCACCCTCTTCTTGGTGACGGGGTCCAGGAAGTTCTTCTGGCTGTCGCGGGGGTCGTTGAGGCAGCGGTAGAGCTCGCGGTCCACCAGCCCGCGGGCCAGCGCCACGTCCTTGGGCAGGAAGACGCTGTTGACGGGGTCCACCACGCCGCCGGACGCCAGCTGGGCCTCCAGCAGGCGCATGCCGGCCTCCCGCTCCACCAGGCCCTTCTTGATGGCCTCGGACAGGGGCACCGTCTTGCCCGAGAAGGGGTCGTGGAAGCCGGTGACGGCCTTCTCTGCCGTGTAGATCTGCTCCCGGTCGTCGAAGTCCACGAGGTCGCGGGCGACGGCGTTGTCCACCGTCAGCCGCTCGTTGCGGTGCGGGTCGATGACGCCCCCGGTGGCCGCCTGTGCCTCCAGCAGCATGACGGCGGCCTCGGCGGCCAGCAGCTTCTTGCGCTTGGCCTCCACCAGCGAGTACTTGTCCTTGGGCGAGGCGGAGGCGCCGGCAATGGCGCCCGCGCCCCGCAGGAAGGGCTGCAGCTCGGCGGCCACCTCCTCCACCGACTTCTTGCCCTTGAGCAGCTTGTCCAGCGTGGCCTTGTCCAGCAGCTGGCACTCGTACAGCTGCATGGCCGTGACCTTCTTCCGGAGCCCGTCGAACACCAGCGTGGAGGAGTCCACGGCCCAGGCGTGCTCCGTCTGGGTCTCGCGGTGCGAGCCGTAGGGCCGCTGGCTCAGCCGGTCGATCTCCCGCTGCAGCCGGCAGCGCTCGCTGTCCAGCTGCGCCTGGGTCTCGCGCGACGAGTCCTCCAGCCGGCGCCGGCAGCGCTCCTCCACGCGCCGGACCTCGGCCTGCAGCCGCTCCACCTCGCCGCGCAGGCTGCTCTTCTCGCGCTCGCTCTTCTCCCGCTCCGACTCGATCTTGCGCACGGCCTCCTCCTTGCGGGAGTACTGCGTCTTCCACTGGTTCAGGTCATTCTGGATCTGCTCCTTCTCGCACTCCAGGCGCTGCTTCAGCCGGCCCTCGGCCTCCAGCGTGGCCTTGGCGCGGGTCAGCTCGTCCTCCAGCCGCTGCAGCCGGCCCTTGTCCTGCTCCAGCACCTTGATCTTCATCAGCAGCGTCTCCCGCTCCTGCACCACCTGGGTGCACTGGGTCTTGGACTCCTGGATCCGGTTGGACGCCTGGGGGGGCGAGAAGAGACACAGGGGGCAGGGCGTTAGCCTGCCAGCCAGGGAGCCGGCCGTCCGCGGGGCAGCCCCCCCACCCCAGCCCCCTGGGCGGGGCCATCCCCCGCCCCCCACCGAGGCAGCATGCCTCGGCCCCACCCGTCCTCCGTGGATGTACTGTTTTGTTCTCTTGCGTGTTCGTTCACTTGCAAACTGAGCGAGGGCCGCTCGGCCCACGCCGCCGGATGGACGGCCGGCTTCGGGCTCGGACGTCTTTGCATAAGGGGGCCCAAGAGGCCGCTCGGTAATAATCGCGGCTCGGAAACACCGGGGGTTTTTGCCCCAATACGGCTGCTCCCCCCGCCCCCAGCAAGTTCAACAAAGCAATGTCAACCTACGGACAGACACGCCCACCCCCTCCCCACCCCACAACCGCCGGCCCCCACACAAATATTGTCGAGAGATCAGACGCGTCAGAGAACCCAGAAGCGGTGTTAGGTAGGGGTTAGACGGAGGAAAGCCCGGCGCCGGACCCATGATTGGAGAAGCAGCAGCGGCATGGGGCGGTGGGGGGGGTGGGAGGAGAGAGGGGTGCAGGGTGCCGGGCCCACCACCGGCCGGGTAAGGGGGTTAGTGACAGCCGCAGGTCCCGCTGGCCAGCGAGACCCGCCTGGGAGCAGGAGCCGCCCGCCCGGGGGCCCTCGGAGAGGCGGCAGAGGCCGAGCCCAGCCAGGGGGGGGGGGGGGGGGCGAGCCGGTTGGGGGGTGAGGTGCGCGGAGGTCCGCCGCCCCGCCGCGCGGAGAGGCCAGGACGGAGAGGACGGGAGAGGTCAGGAGAGGGCGAGAGGCAGCGAGCAGCGAGCGGATCACGACAGACAGTGAGCAGGATCAAATATTTGTGAATACCTCTAACGCCTGCTTTTGGAATTTCTCAATTTCCTGTCTCAAATTTTCCCTCTCTCTCTGTAAATCATTAATGAGCCCCTGCAGCTCCAGCGTGCGGGCGTTGCTGGTCTGCAGCTGGCCGCGCAGCTCGGCGATGGTGGCGTCCTTGCCGCTGGCGGCCTCGTTGCGGCCGCGCCGGGCCTCGTCGCGCTCCAGGCGCAGCGCGCGCAGCTCCTCCTCCAGCAGCAGGTGCTCCTTGGTCAGGCTCTCGGTCAGCGACTGCAGCCGCTCCACCTCGATCTTGCTCTCGTTGAGCGCGCGGCTGCGCTCCTCCACCGCTTTCTGCAGGTGCTCGCCGCGCGC